GTGTGATGTGTGAAGTTGGGCTTGGTTACATTTAAGCGCACCTTTCTTTGCTGGGTTGGTTGCGTTTTGAGGTGTGTGGGGCTGTTTGTCCTTTGTAGAAAATGTACATTTTCAGGTGGACACGTGGCTTCAGCTTTGGTCGCCCCTGGCTGGCCAGCGTGTTGGCTGGCTGGGGGCGTTAGGCCACACGACGTAAAAATAATTTCGTGATTTAGACGACGTCACTAAATTCAGTTTTGAAAATAATGAAATTAACCGACGACCCAGGAATTATTTTAAATTGCGCAGACTATTCTGTGCAGCATTCTGCAAACATGAGACATGTGACTTAAAGCAAGTTACATTTTCCCTGGGAAAGGCCTGAAAAATGTAACTTACATTTTCCCCTATTTAGTTACATTTTCATATTGAAAAATGTAACTTAAAGAAGTTACATTTTTTTGGGGGTTTGCCTAACAAATGTAACTTACATTTTGTTAGGTATATGTTAGGGGAAAATGTAAGTTACAATTTTTGCAGGTCCCCCCCCCCAGAATGGGTAGGGATTATATATATATATATATTGTGTGCTGTCTCCCATCCTGACCGGTCCACTACAGTGGTTTCAGAATAGATGGCACCGGCACCCCAAGATGTTCTTTTTCAAAAATAGGTTCATATAAGCCACCAAGCTTGGGGTAACTTGCGCCATCTACCCTGACACCACAGCCATGGCTCTTCCCGTTCCCCTCCCCTCCTGTCTTTGCGCCCGAGGCCATCAGACCGTCCAAGACCAAGAGATCAAGATGATCGACGCGCGAGGGCAGATGCTTCTTGGACGACCGTCTGGCTTGTCAACACGACCGCCTTGAAGCGATGAACCACGGACCTCTTCCTTCCAGTCCTAATTGGTGCTTGCTTGGGGTTCTTTTTTTTTTTAAGATTGGGAGTCGAAGACCTGGGGTTGGTTCCTTTTCTGGAGGGGAAACTAGAAGCGAGCTTTTGGAACATGAGACGTGGCTTGAACTATGGAAAGACCATGAAAAGAAACAGGGTCGGACATGGATGGACATGGACTGCCGGACACGAACTGGGATGTGAACCTTCGATCCCCAAGAGGACCTGAAAAAACCACCAAGAACGCTTCAAGCTTCAGGGCTCTTGACGTATATATTATGTTTTTTCTTATAGGTGTGTCCAGATATGCATGTGCCTACGTGATTCCATATGTCTTCTATTTGACGCATCAAAGGACATAGTGTTGTACTGAATAATCTCAGCAACTATGCACCATGCACATATACACTAGCATTGGTCAAAGAGGGATCCATGTAGTCTTTGCTATCCTGAATAGAAACACAACAACACGTGATTCTGCAAAGCAAAGCAACCCTAGGAATCCATGGAGAAACGCTTATTGAACCGAACCACCCCTTTCGATCCCTTTCGGTGTCCGTCTTGAAATTGGGACCTCGCTCGACCGTTAGGCTGTCGCAGTACCCGCGCTACTCCACCTTCCAAGAGGCTCCCTTTTGCGCGTCCATTCAAGCGGACCTGCAGAAAGCTGGCTTCCCAGCACCCTCGCAGATTCAGCAGTTTCTTGGATTTGGTCGAGTGCGAAACTCGAGGATTCTGCCTCGATGTGGCGGTCGGTTGGGTAGATGGTTGGTGAGCCAATGAAAAAGCGCTTGTTGGACCAGTGGTGCGGGGGTGGACCAGAGCTTAGCGGCAAAACCAAATGGCGAGGCCAAAACCTCCACAGCCGAAACTTCCCAGATCTGAACTTCCATCTACCTCTCTCACCAATTGTATATGTTGTTCACCCACCCCACCCAGCGGCAGATCCACTGTAAACTGTAAAGCAGAAGATGGATGAGTTGATAATGAGATGACTTGGGGGGGATGCTTGGCGGTTTGAGCATGGTGAACTGATGGAGTCCTGCAATGGAAGAACTCTGGAGCATCATTTTGTGCCTAGGTTGAGCATGACCGCTAGTTGGTAAAACATGGGCCTTTGGCAAAAACGTGTAAAAGCGTGGTCTTGGCAAAGCTGCGTGGACCTACGGTTCCGCACACACGCGATCCAAAACCGTGGAGACCGGTGAGGACCGTTTTCTCGGCGCGAAACCGTGGTCAGATTCCATGTGCGGATGGCGAGAGACCTTGGGTCATCCCACCCCACGTCCCGCCTGAAACTCTGTAGCCTACCCAGGAAAAGTGGATATAGAACGCTTTGGAGCGTTTTTTTTGGGGGGGGAGTGGGTTTCCCCTCTAAACCAGAACCGGTGAAATGAGTGGGACGTTTGATCAACGAGTCAAATCGGGAGATGACAGGAGTCGAGTCAAGACGCTGAGTTGGTATATCAACGGGGCGTTCTCCCAAAAAACACCCACAAGCAGAAAGAACTCAGATGAGTTGGTGTGAAGCAAAGTACTTTGAGTGTTTGTACATCCGCACACCCAACGTAGGATGATTTTTTTGGGTGGTGGTTTGACTCCCAACAGGTCCATGGCCGTCGTTCGGAAGGACACCGAAATCGAAGGAAACCGTCCACAGCGGGTGAACCACGGAGCCGAGGTACGCGTGGCCACTGGCCATGCAGGGCTACGACGTCATCGGGGTGGCAGCCACCGGAAGTGGGAAGACACTTGATTCTATTGATCCAAGTGGGATAGAACATGATAGAAGTATCCAAGTGGCTGGGTGACTCCTTTAGAAACCATTCCCGCCTCAGTTTTCGACCGGATTCACTGGCAAAAACCAGCCAAACCGGGGGTGATGAGTGGATTCTCCCACACGACCGGCACCCGCAAAAAAAAAGAAGGTCGCTCTCGGAGACTTAGGGAGTGGCAGGCAGAGTCGTGCTGCTGGTATTTGGATGTACCCAGACGCTCATGGGCCCTCATATGGAGGGGTCGGACCCTCATATGGAAGGGTCTGGGGTCTCAAATCTCTACGTTTTGAGGGACCAAGGGCTGTTTGGAGCGTCTGGGTATTTGGCATGTTTCTGGATTTTTGATCCTCCACTGCTCCACCGTCTTTTGCGGGAAGTTCATGGCACCCATTCGACCAGCGAAGCACCGAGTCGTCCAGCAGCCGAGCGGCTCGGCGAGACCAAGTTTCATGCTCAGGACCTTGGCCTTCCTGCTGCCAGCCTTCCATTTTCTCCTCCAACAGGGAATTCGTGCGGGTGGCTGGGCTAGAGATGAGCGTTTTCTGGTTCTTTTTGTTTTGAACAAGATGTGTTCGACCCCTCCCCAGTATACATATGTTGAATCAAGGAATCAAGCCTCTTTGGAACGTACAGGAAGAGGCACGTCTCGGCACTTCCTCCGAACGTTTGGTACCTCGAACTCGCCAGCGAGATTCATTGGTCCCTTCGGATGGCCCCGGGTCGCTCGGGTGAGAGCCGAGTATCCTAACCAGCTAGACTATAGCGGATTCTGTTGGACACAAGAGGGAGCCACCGTACCGCACCATGCATGTGTATTGAGCCAGCAGGGGCACGTCAGGAAGGCAGCTTGGCGTGTGTGGACAGAGACACTACTTATTGACGGGTGACCCAGTCTCAAGCCATCACGACCGTTTCTCTGAGCCAAAGAAGAGTTTGCCTTTGCGCTGCATGGCATCTTATGGAGGAAGCCGTGACCAGGATGAAGAATTTTAAGGAGCCCATAATAAATTCCACCACCTGGATTCGAACCCGGGTCGCTCGGGTGAGAGCCGAGTATTCTAACCAGCTAGACTATAGCGGATTGTGTTGGTCAGAAGAGGGAGCCACTCTACCACAGGATGCGTGTATATTGAGCCAGCACGCAGGCACGGCTGTGGTCTTCAAGCACTCGCCTTTTTGGCTCATCAGGATGGCAGGGCACGTGCAACTCTTGACGTGTGTGGACAGAGACATTTCTTATTGATGGGTGACCCAATCTCAAGGCATCACTGCCAACAAGTGTATAGGGTTGCGTGCGTGTACATCAACGTGCATGTTGACGCATGCGCACATATCGTATAGTTTCCACGGGAACCGAGACTTTATGCGCGCGTATGCAGTCCTGACGCACGCAAACACGCAACAGAACTAAGTAGATAGATAGATGGACAGAGAGCAGCCCCCCCAAAATGATATATATATATTTATAAATATCAAAATGTACATGTTTACACATAAACATACATGTATATATATATATATATATACACACACATACATATATATATATATATACACACACACACTCCAACGCACAACATTCGGAGATGCTCGAACACCAAACTCAACACATCCCACGCGCCTTGTTGGGGTGTGGTTGCCCACCGCTCCAGTGCTAGTTGCCCGCTTCCAAAAACGCCATGACTTTGTGGCATCCAGTCCGTGGTGGCTCGAGTCCACCCTCATGCGTTTGGTCTTCCCGGCCACTTGAGGTCCTTGTGCAGCCAAAGAAAAATACTCCTAAGCCCACACCCTTGCGACAGGCACCTGCTGTGTGTCACCAAGGACAGAAAACACCCAGACGCAGCAGCAGGCTTTCTCGTCCTCCAACCACATGAGCCACAACATCTGCGCGCGCAGCCCCAGCATCCAAGTTCCTGAGACGCATTGTAATCATCCAAGATGCGGCAGGCGTTTTTGCCATCTGCCCACAAGTCCTGTCATCATCCAAGACGCGGCGGGCGCACTTGCCATCTGCCCACAAGTCTGAATCTGAAGTGCACCTGCAGCGCAGGCAACTATGTGTCATCAAGGACAGAAAAACAAGTCTGAGCGCGCATGAGTCAGGAAGCTGAAGTAGCCAGATCGCGCCCTAGCTTCTTCGAATTCCACAGAATCTTGTAGATATCTCTGATGGCTGACTCTCGCTACAGTCTGCTCCCATGTGTTTGGTAGCAGATAATAAATTCCGCCACCGGGAGTGGGTCGGCCCCTTCGCTGGACCGCCCTTCCCGCCCGTCCAGACTGGACCGCCGGGCCCCAGCAGGCGGTCGCAGGGCAGGTGGTTGAAGCCTACGACGGCCGAAATGAATGACAGTCCCTCTTTGGGCTTGTAAATGAAAGGTTCTTAGATATAGCCCCCCAAATCAGATAGAAAGGGTAGTAAAAGTCGATCCCCACTTAAAACATGTCTTGGACAAACCGTGCCAGTACAGACTGTATCTCTTGGGAGAAAAACACATCAAAAGCCGCTGTGACGAACACCGAAGACGAGCGTGCCGAGGCGATCCCCACTTCCTGGTCATGGCCCCCACGCGTGAGCTGGCGGTGCAGATCGAGGAAGAAGCGGTGAAGTTCGGCAGGCGATGGCGGGACGGAGAAGCGGTGGAGGTTCACGGGACCGGGAGGTTCGATCCTTAGCTGGGAAAAGCTCTTGGGTGTGTGTGGGATGGTAGGGTTGCTTGGTGGATTCTTTCAAGATAAACATCACCGCCCCAGCAAGACAAGATCACACGAGATATAAGTGTCACGACATATTATATATATATATAATATATTATATAAGTGTCACGACTCGTTAAAAAAAACCACGTTGCTTCTCGGTTCGACTCGGTTCCCACCGCGGGGGTCGAGAGGGTTTCCGGGAACCGCTGCGCGGAGCGCGGAGCGCGCAGGGCCAGCGGCATCAAGACTTGCTGCTGCTATGGCGGAGCCTCCAAGGGTCCGCAGGCGATGCACCTGCGCGATGGCGTTCATGGGGTGATTGGTGGCTTGATTGGTGGATTGGTGGAGTGGGGAAGGAGGTTGGGAGAGTGGATCCCAAGAGCCAAAAGTGAAGGGATGAAAAGATGCACTTTCCAAAGATGAAGGATGGGGTGGAGCCCCAAGATCCTAAGAGGATGGCGAATCGGCAATTGTTCGATTGAAGCCAAGTTGCAGAGGCAGGAACATGAACAGAACTTTGCCAAGCAACCTCCTGAGCTTCTGGTTTTCAAGGGGCTTGAAAGCATGAATGAATTTGGAATCTAGATGAGAGTGGATGGGGAAGATCTTGAATGTCTTCAATTTTTGTCTATTTCAGGCACATCTTAAACTAGAGATTGGTTATAACTTCGTCCATCAGTCTTTTTTTTTGCAGTTTCCATAGCTTTCACAGGATGTATTGGTTTGGGCCACTGGTTGGGCCACACCTGGACCGCATCACAAAGTTGCAACACACGAACTGCAGACATGACCTTCATCGGAACGGCAGAAGTTGTGTTCAAACAATACGTACGCCACCTGCTTTTGATTGAGTTCCCCTTTACTGGCCCGTTTGAAGTGGACCAACGAAGGATTCAGGTGCAGGGCATGCTCCCCCCCCAAAGACTTTGACATGTGATGGTTCATGGCTATGGATATGACCTTAAGCCTTAGGAGGGAAATCAGAGACATCCTAGTCACAAGAAAACCCGGCCAACTGAGACTGTCAGCAGCTGTCCGTTCAGTCCACAAAAGCAGGTGATGGCGGATCATGACCGTCATTTTTTTCATGCTTTGTCCAGTGAACTCTTCATCGGGGCAATGGGGGGTTGGCTGAGTTAAACAGTAAGCGAAGCTCTTGCAGCAAACGGCTCGCCGAGGAACTCCAGGAAGAATCAATGACTTCCTTGAGGGCAATCAGCCGCGACCCTGGTAGATGAAAGACGATGAAACGACCCAGAAAACAGCCATGTCTTCCCCTACATGAATTGCTTCAGGGGATGTGGCCAAGAGCCAAGACGCCGCCCGAAACAATGAGGTAACGTTTAAACTATGAGAGCACATATACTGGTCCCAGTGAAGGGGATCCACGGTATTTTCAAGGGTTCGCTTTCTATTTATGTTTTGGAGTCATTGTAGTAGTGACAGTTTTGTTGTTTAGAGAACACTTTGTTGGACTTCATGAAACGTTATTGCCACCTACAGTACGTTCAAGAGCCAGCGTTGTCTAGTTTGCTGGTTTCATTGCCTGATGTATGCAAGCAGATCTTCAACTTCCTAAAACTAAGAAAATCTTCAGCCAGAATTACCAGCCTCGTCTGTTTGCTGGGTTAAGTGGACATTTGTTGGGTAGGAAGCATGAAGAAGATCTTGGTGGATAGCCTCAAGCTCAGAGTGGGCTGTCACTCCCGAGTGCGCAAGAAGACTGAAAAGAAAGAGGAACAGCTACGACCTGGCCTAGCTCGTCTGAGCTCGGGTGCAAGGGTGCAGGACGTCAAAGCGAATCTAACCTGCGCGGTGAACCAAGAGCTTCGCCTCTTGCGTTCACTGGTTGAGCAATGTGGTGGAGGAAGCCGGCGCCTTGTGCCGCACCAGAAATGGGGCACTCCGGCTCTTGCTTCCCGCGTGAGGTGCGTCATAAGTGGAAGTGGAAAGATCGGCTACAACTCTGTGGCTCACTCCCATGGAACACTGGTGTCGAAGAGGGAATGATTCAGGCACGAGTCCTTCTATGAGTTGGTCCCAGCTTGATGGAAGCCATATCATACAGCTTGGTTGACAGTGACAGATGTGCTCTTCGATATGCTTGGCAAACTACGGTGACTGTGGGAAGTTGCCATTCCATCAGGTTGGACCATTTTCTCATTGTGAACAACACCCCAGATACAAAACCCTTTGGAATACTTTAATTTCTCCATCCCCACTTGAGAACAGTTTTCTACCTCCATTCACTCCTATTTTTTGCCGTTTTTTTGATCAGCATCTTTTTAACACCTACAGGGAGCGTCTTCCACTCCCTTCCCAGTCAAGAAGCGCAACGACGTGGCCCAGAAACCTAAAGGGAAGACGTGGAGAGCGTCCTCCACAACGACCTGTCTGGGACTGGGCCAGATGAACCCACCCCTGTCTGCACTCAAAGAAAGGCTGACCTGGTGTTGTAGTCTAACATCCTATAGTAAACACTGGTGGTTCGATGAAACCCATCAAATCAATGATGGTTGGAATCAATGATGGTCTATCTTGACATGGAGTCCTTACGAATGAAACACGGCACGGCAAAACGGGGACCGAGCCGCTCGCCGCTCGAGACCTCGGATGGATCCATCCTGCAGGTAGAAGAGAACTCTAAGCAATAAAAGAACACCAAACTGGTTGCTTGAAACATGCTTGGATTTCTTTTAATACTTAACTTAACCAAACCTTAGCAGACAGGATCAGCTGGTCGGAACCTGTTGGGTCGGGTATATCATCCTGTCCATTGTTGGGTAAATCCGGCCAGCTTTTTCTTGTCTGGGTATACCCTTGCATCAGCTTAGGAAGGATAGAACTGAACCCTATGCAGTGGAATCGGAGGAGCGCTTCTTAGTATGTGTTGGGAACGCCCTGTGCAAGAGAGGGTTCACAATTGGGTTCTTTGGTTGGCATCCTTCCATCGCATGAGACTGTTAGGGCAATAGAGGGACAGATAAGAGTCCTCTCGAGCGGGACTCTTCAGATGGGATGGGGACGGCGAGTATTCTCATCAGTCAATTCCCATCATGTATTTGACAGACGATTTGGCCTCCACCTTGTACCATTCCATCTTCCCACTCCTGCCCGGTTCCCAGGGTCCGCCTCCAAGATGTGTGCAAGCTCGTGCTCGATGAGGCGCGAAATGGCACGTCACCCGCGCGCAATGGGTCGCCCGAGGGGATCGGGACGACCCTTGTCCGCCGGCGCCGAGGTGGTCCGCAAAAGGCCAAGGGGTGGTCGGTCCGTTTGAAGGTCCCGGGGGGGTGATTTGGGTGCGAAGGAGGACAGAGGCTGCCTCTTCTGAGTCGTTGCATCCCAAGTCCACCTTCCCTTCTTTCGTGACCAAACCATCATTCAGGGTTCTCCCGCTGGGTCAGGCGGATCGGATGTTGGACATGGGTTTCGAGCCGCAGATCCGGAAGATCTTGGTGAAGTGGCTGGGCGGAAAGGTGAGTGGTGAGGGGGGGAGGGAATGTGGGAAGGAGTGGAACATGCCCGAGGTAAAGTTCTTGGATGGGGTGGATCTGAAGGTAGTAAGCCGGCCTACAGGGGTCGCGAAATTCGAAACTCACCTGAATTGTCTCTTGCACATCGTAAAACACTCTCTAGTGGGTCCCATGCCAAGCCGAGCCCGCAAAGCGGAAACACACACGAAAACATCTGCCAGTCTGCCAGTGATCCCCCTCTGCAAAACAGCTCCATCAGTGGTGCTTCCTTCCTTCTTGTAAACCAAGCTTGCCACCAGCCGTCCCAGTCGTCCCCCCCAACCCCCCCCCAACCTGTCCGCAGGTCCGCTCCGCACTTTTTCGAGGATCACGAATCCCAACCGCCACACGATGTTCTTCACCGCCACGTGGCCCACGAGCATCCGGCGCTTGGCCTCCGAGTTCCTGCGGAATCCGGCCGCTTGGGTGCGACGGTTGGGGAGGGGAGGTTGGCGTGGGGGGAGGACGACTAAGGTGGGCGAGAAGTGGGCCAGGGTGAGTCTTGTTCTACTGCAATTAGGTGTCTTGAGGTGGACGATGTGAGGAAATGGCTTCTTGGGGTGGGTGATCGCGAGGATCACTGCTTCTTTGCAGATTGACAGGAGCAGCCTTTTCAAACGGGGCAACGTCCCAAATAGTATAATGGGTCATTACAGTCATTACAGTATGATTTTCATTCATTCTTTCTTTCTTTCTTTGCATACATTAGCTTGGGATGAGTCCATCCATGTTAGGGTTCAAATGAGGGGTTGATTTGTCTGGAGAATGCTTACGTTGAAGGATCACCCTCCTAAGATTGACCCAAATCGTCATTTGTCCCCCTGGCGTCAGCGAAATTTCGATTCAGCCGCGTCGCTGCGCTCAGATCCAGATTCAGATTGGCAACCGTGATGAGCTGAAGGGCAACCAGGACTCGCCGTTGAATCCAAAATTCCGTTGAATCCACAAAGGCGAGGCCAGAAGGTCCAGTGCAATGTGAGAACAAACGAAACAAATTGGGATCCCCATCCAACCCTGCACCCACACGTGGACGGGTGCGTTTTTGGACCGGCGAAACAGTCGTTGAAGGAGCCGTGAAACTCCGAATTGCTTTGGCGGGTGCCAGTAGATCTTGGGTGTTCCAAGGTGCCAGGATCCATTTGACATGGTCCATTTACAAAGATGGGAGATGCGGCTGAGGCGTCTGGGACGTCTCTCCTGAAATCAGGGTTTTTCAGGCTCCCGGTTTTGTGGGGCACAAGCTGGAGCCAGTTCCCTTCTATTTTCTTGTACACGGCATATACCAGGACCTGGTTTATGGACACCCCTGAAGCTGATTCCTGGGGCTCTTGACCTCTCTTTTGCGGCCATACAATTTGTATGGCCGCCGACGGGGACGGGCCGCGCCGGGTGAGGATATCGTACAGATTATCTCTCCTTGCACCTTCGGCAACAAGAACCAGGTCTTGCTGCAGGTCCTGAGCCAATCAGGCCAAGCCAAATCGACGGCTTCGGCTTCTTTCTTCCGCTGAGTTTGGGGAAAAGAATCGGCTAGGATAGGAGGGTCGGGTCATGTGACTTTGGTGAGTGTCGTGTGGGGAGCAGGCATCACGTATAGGAGCTCTGTTTGGGCCAAGGCAGGGGCTGTGGAGAGGGTGATCATTCTCACTTAGCACCACCCAAAGGGTGGTTTATAGACCCACCTATCTGGATTTTTTTTGGTTGATACGCAACAGCGGAGTTGGGAGCTCTATCACCTGAGCTATACCGTACGGGCCCCAAGATTCAGAACCGTCGCTCCGGCTGGGCAGTTTTTGTGCTGCTGCTTCTTGGGGGCTTTTGTAGATCCAAGGCGGAGTTCCGGCACAACACCTGGGCACTAAGGTGTCTTCTAATACTTCTTACTGTGGCACCACAAACAGGAAGAAGATGAGCCAGGAACAAAGGACACCAAGTGAGCTCAGGTCGCCAGGGCAGCGCCACAAAATGCATGGCTTCGACCGCCAAACCCCGGGCTGGCACGGCGGGATCGACCGGACGGGCACGGCGGCACGGCGGAGGCGTGGGCGACCGGAACAACAGCGCGGCCAAAGCCATCATCTTTTGCTCCACAAAGAGGATGTGCCACGGATGGGTTGAGGGGGACAGGAGTGGGGGGCCAGGAGGCTGGGGGTTTCGGTTGGCGTTCACCTTTTTTCGTGTGAGGATCATCCGTGAAGGGGCCTTTGACTTGCTGGGTTTCTCCACACATCCAAGGGGCCTTTCTTTTTTGCTCATGCTCGGGGTGAGTGTCCCAAGTCCTAAGGACTTGGTGATTTCGTTGGACGAAAGAAGGACAACCTGGGAGATCCTGCAAGCTACATCGCAAGTCCTTCTGATTCAACACGGCGTTCACCTCCATTCCCCCACCGTTGTCCGTGCAGTGGTCAGGTGCGACCAACTGCAGAGGGATCTGCAGCGCGCCGGCGTGCCGTGCGCGGCCATCCATGGAGACAAAGGGCAACGGGAGCGTGAACACGTGGGGGGGTCCCAAAGAGGTGTGATGGCTGCGGGGGACAGGTTAGCGGGTGAAAAAGGATCCAAATCTCCCTCCAAAAGTCTGGGCAAGAAGTGGGTCAGAGCATGAGTTTGAGTGCCAGTCTGAGACCATCCCTTCTTGACCATGCTATTTTGGGTCCCCGCTTCTGGATGCTTGGGGGTCAGTGCGGCCCAACCTGTCAGCCTGCGGAGGGGGGGTTTGTTCTGTCTGAGCACCTCCCGGACTAACACCTTTGCCATCGGTTTTCGTGATGATGGGGGTTCATAAGGAAGGGCAGCTAGCCTTGGAACAATCTGAGTCGCACGAAGGATGACTTTTCTCAGATGGTGGGTCGAAGGAAGGGCCAGGGTGAAGCCAGTGGAGAGCGTGATCCTGAATCTGGACAAATCACCTGCTTCAAACTACCTGATCAACGGCATGAAGGGGACTGCAGGTGAACTAGTTACGACCAAGCAGCACCACGGAGTTCGGGTGGTTGATGGACTGCCCTGACTATGCCCTACAAGTCCCAGAGCCAAGTTAAACCTGGTCCTTGACCTCATTGAGTACTGGTTTTGTATGACCGGATCCAGTCAAATGAGGTCCTTGACCTGTAGGGATGTATATTCCATTCCATAACCACCCCTTCCGTGCTGCTACCAATAGAGGGTGCCACCCCATGGACCGATTCGTTTGATGCAGCTGACCGGACTGGGATCACCGTGTCACCATCTTTGACGCCTTCATCCGCGAACTCCGGACCTGCCTTAGCCTTAGACCCCGGCCTCGGGTGGCGCCCGCGCCCGGAGGCCCTGGGGGAGTTGAAGAGCGGCGCCATGAAGCTCATCGTGGCCACCGACGTGGCGGCCCGAGGCATCGACGTGAAAGGCGCCGGGGCCCGGGAGGTTCGGAGCCCGGAGGGGAAGGGGGGGCGGGATGGGAGGAAAAGGGAGAAAAGAGCAAGTGGCTGGTGGGTTATTCATCAAGAATCATCAGGATTCTACATGATACAAAGAGTCCTTCTCTTTTAGGGATTCTAGCTAATCTTTGGATGGCTAAAGCACCAATGGGACCAGACTAGAGGAGGCTTGGAGTTCTGCCTAAATGGAGATTGCGCACTGCGAAAAAGGAGGTGAATACATTGCAGCCAAGACACCAATGCTAGAGCTGTTGACTGCGAATGGCCCTTGGCTGATATGAGGTACAGTCAGTTACAGGAGACTACCCGAGTAGAAAGATGGACTTGCTCGCACCAATGAAAAAACAGCAAAATACCAACCAAATCCTGGTGTCCTTTGATTTCGTAATACATTTTGACCGTGGCTGAGATGGTGGGGTTGGATTGGCAGATCCTTTCGTTCCTTCTGCTTCCTTATGGAGCATCCAAATATAGACTGGACACCTCTGAAAGACAATACACATCATGCTTGTCCCGGCTTGCGTCTCTTTGCAGGTGGCTTTGTGGAAGATTCATCCTTCAATGGTAGGACGTGTGGCTTTTCTATTTTTTTCAACGTGGTACGGTGTATGAGCACTCGCCTTGATCCCTTTCTGAGTCATTCTTTGGGTGGAGTGTTCTTGAGCAGCTTGCTCAGGCAGTAGAAGCTGGTTTTCCTTCAACTTGAAGCGACATCAGGTTTGGACTTTGATCAAACCTAGCGACAAGTCGAAGTTGAACAGGCAGAACCTTTGAACAAGTCGACTCACGGAGGGTGGGTTTCTTGGCCCCCCCCATAGCCACGCTCCCCAATGTCCCTGGGGGATTGGGCCATCCCCTGCGCCGCCCGACCGACGTCGAGGCGTGACTCTGGTGGTGAACTATGACGCTCCAGGCAATACCGAGGACGCCCGCCCTCTTCATGCAGCGTGGGAGAACACGGCGTGGGGCGGAGAAGCAGACGTTTCACACCACGAAAGCCTGGTGTTTCCAGGACTGCAGTTTTCAGGACTGGGCTGTGTAGAACCACAGATTTTGGAGGTTCTGAACAATGAAACACACACTCGTCCCGCGGTTCAACCAAGCTCGTTCGGCCGAACCGTGCGCCGCGAGGACTATGTGCATCGAATTGGCCGAACAGGCCGTGCGGGCCAGAAAGGCGGGGAGCCCGCGTGAACCGGGGACCCACCGACGGACATGGAGGTGGAAGGGGCCCATAGATGGGGGGTTTTTCAGGTGCCCGATGCCTGTTTCGAGCCAAGAATCCGTTTCGTCTCTGTTCTCCCTCCCTCCCTCCCTCCCTCCCTGCCCTTTTTTTCCTTTTACTTTTTGGCACCAAAGTGCCTCGCCACGGTTGTCCTCGCCGACCGCCCACCGCGCCAGGCTATGCCGTGTCGTTGATCACGGACAAAGATGCTCACGCCTTGCGGGGCATCATCGAGGTGATGAGACGAACGAATCAGGCTTGAGTGTCGAGTCCCGTCCGACACCGTTGGATCGATCGATCGAAGCGAGACACGGTGTTGACACGGGGTGTGGATAGAGGGGTTGGAGGATCGAAGCGTTTGGGGTTTCGGTGCATACTTTGGGGTTGGGAGGATCGAGGATGGTGGAGGCCGTGTTTTGGTGCACATGGAAGATGGAAGATGGTTCTCCTCAACCTTGAGGGGGGTTTTGATTTTTGCTTGCGCCATCAGCTCTGACCATGCTTGGAGGCGAAAGTTTTTTGAGATGAAGAGGAGTGCATTTGAGTGATTGACCAAATCTCTGGCTAGCGGATGGAGGGACCGAAGGATGGTCGCTGGGTCGCCCCCCCGGAACCTCCGAACGGACCTCCGCCCGGGCGGGACTGACATAAACCAGGGACCTCTTCTGTTCAATCCTCATCTTGGGAACAGGCGACCTCTTGTGCCTTGCTTACATAGGTGCTTCCACCCTATGTTTTCCGGCGTACTGAAAGGCCCAGCAATCGAAGACAAGCGCGTTTTGATGGATCCACAGATTGGATCCTGAGTTGGGCGCAAGATGGACGGAAGAGTTACGAGTCAAAAGACAGCCTGGAAGCATCTCGAAGCACGATTTTTTTTTTGATAAACCAATGTAAACCTTTGGTATAGAACGATATAAAACGGCATAAAACTCTTGCAATCGGGTTAACGCCCTTGTTAAAACCAGTGGTCCCAGTGGTTCGGGCGACCGTTTTCATCCATTTTGTCCTTTAAAGAAGTCCGACCAGTTCCAAATCGCCAGGAAGTCACACCAGAGGTGGAGGCACTCGGTGGCTGAGGGGCGGTGATTCTGTGGATGACTGTGGCTTTAGATGATTTGGGTATAAAACCATATAACCATATATTATATATATAACCATATATATATATATAAGCATATATATAGATAAATAGACATACAGACAGGACAACAGTTGCTAAAACGCTTGGAAACATATGACTTACAACCCTTTCCCCTTAGAATCCTACAGAGGATCACAGCGGAATTTCGGCGGATAAATTTCCACCCCGAACTAAATTTGTAGTATCCGTATTTTAGTTTAGTTTGGGGCCGAAATTTGTCCGCCGGAATTCCATTCGGAAAGAGACGTCATGTCAATGAGAATCGTGAGGGAAGTTGTTAGCAAACTTTCTTCCTCCCGAAGTATATCATGATGTGCCAATACCAGCACATCCCAATTTGGACTTTCATTTCTTCTCGGGTGTGGGTTATTAGTTATTATTATAGTCAAGAGTCAAGATAGGTTAGCTGAGAGGTGCTTCTTGCATGAACGACTTTGTTATATACCAAACCCTCGGTTTTCTGAGACTTCTGTAAACTTCTTCCTCCAAACATCCAACATGAAGACTCCGATGATGGTGATGTCCTGGATCCACAACATGTCTCTATTAGACACGGATCCAATTCTCCTCCAATGGTGGCGGTCGTCCGTTTTGTTGGGTGCTGCAGTTTCGTGTATTGCAAGATCTGGCCTAGTTTGTTCGCTTGTTGCCGCCACGTTCCGACCGGAAACTGGATGCCAATATATGCCAATGGTAGTCAAGAACTGCACCAGCTGCATCCAGCTGCCAGGGTCGGTACGGGTCTTCTCTCATGGAGTGAAAAATGGCCTTCTCTCCAGTGGTCCTTCATGGATGGAGCAAGAAATTCCTTTCCTCTACCGAGTCTCCAATGAAATACCCTACAAGTAGGCCCTTCACTACTTGTGGATCTCCAGAAAGGACACCCCTTTGAAGGTCCAGGTAGGGGTTGAGTCTTTGAACATTTTGGCAAATGTTGAATCTTGAGACTTGATTTGGTGTCGACTCATCCAAAGGGTCATGGCCAAAGTTTAAATTTAACAATCTTCCTCAGCCTTCCCTTAATGGCAGTTGTAGAAGAATGATTGATAAGATCAACACCCAAGAACAATACATGATATAGGGGTTGACGTTGAGGCAACAAAGCAATTTCACTTGTTTCCGATTCTCACACCTATTGCGTTGCGTGATCAAGAGAAATACATCTATAGGACACCAGTACGAGGACTACTTGTTACAGGCCCAAGAAAGATTGTGGTCGTTGTTCCAGTTTGCCTTCAAAAGCCCTCCTTTGGGCCCGCGTAGACCCGAGCCCCCCCAAAATTCCAGGATGATACTTCCAATGATCTAGGATCTAAGTATATCTAAGAATCAGGAGATGAGGAGACCCGTTGGTGGAGACCCGTTGGTGGTAGATTTTGCGAAACGTTAATGTTTTGCCCATTCGCTTCATGGAGGGGTGCAGCATCGGAGGGGTGCTGGGTGTTCATTCTCTCACTTGAGGTCTCAGAAATGGGCCCGAACTCCACTCAAGTGGAACTCTTGGTTCAATGACACTCCTTCAATGACACCTTGAAGTGTCGACCTGGAACATCGGAGCTGGGGATGTGGGCATGGAGGAACGAGGGACACTCCTGGGTGAACGAGGTGCAGAGTTTCTGAGGTCCGCGACCATGCGGATATGAACCCAGGTTCAGACTTCACACCCCCAACAATTCCTCGCTCTTTGTAGATCTATGCCACCAAGTCCCAAGTCTCATACCCACTTCAGGCATCCACTTTTCTTTGTTTTCCATCTCTCCTAAACCACCACACCCCACTCTTCAGGCGATGGCCCGCTCGGCCGGGCCTGCGCCGCCCTCGGGCCGCGCACTCCGCGGGAAGGGCCGCTGAGTCGCCCGCGGCGCTCGCCGTGCGGAGCGCCCGCGCTCCGTGCGGGGCGCCGTGCGCGTCCGACGCTCGCCGTGCGGGGCCGAGGAGGGGAACGCGGTGGCGGGTCGTGGGGCTTGAAGTGACCAGACTAGGCTTTAGGGACCAAGACTGGGAAGAGTTTTAGGCCTAGAAGTTCAGAAGAGGGAGGCTCAGGGTGCAGGGTTGAGGAAGGAAGGCCTATTGAATGACGCTGCACCTTTTTGGGACATCCGTTTGCGGCCCCAATCCCTGCGATCGCAGCAACCAGCACTGGTGGATGCGTGCAGCCTCGCCGGGCCTGGTTCGCCGGGCCGGCGAGCTCTGAGGCGCGAGAGACGCGCTCCCAGAGCAGGTTAAGCTCCACATGTTGGAGACGAACTTGTAGCTTCAAGTGGATTTGGGTCAAAAGCGTATACTGTATTTAGTTAGAAACTAAGGGCATGTTGGACGGCAGCCTGCTCAGCTGGGTCCGTCGAATCCGTCGTGGTTTTGGGTCATCAGGGTGGACTCGACGTCACTCTCACTGGAAGGTCTGAGGGTTTTTCACATTCTTTTGACCCATATCCAGGTCCAATCCGATGGAGTGGAGCTTAGTGGAAAACCCGCAGCGCAGCGCTCCAGGCTGAGCGGGCGCGAAAAGGAACACGGCCAGCCTGGCAGAAGATGCACAGAAGTGCGCTGCATGTGAGGTGTTTCTGAAGATAGGGGACCCCTAGCCCCCTAGGTTCTAGCATTCTCGGCAGGGAAGGGGTCCCCTATTTTGGGGGAAACACCTCAGAGCACCATTCTGTGCACTTTTCTGCCCAGGTCCAAGAGGTTTACGACCTGGAGGTTCACTTTTCATGGTCTGCCACCACATGGCCAGCGGCCTGATGGCCGGAGGGGAGCCTTCTTCCGAACTTCCTTGATTTCGTGGAGCCTTCCGCTCGCGTGCTTGGATTGAGCTCCCCAAATCCTCCACTGTTTTCAAGTGATGATTAGCCGAGCCTTAGGGAACGTTCTTTAGTCCCTCCACTAAATAGATAAAGATCGTGGACACGCGTTTAGCACCCCCCGCGAGTTCAGAGGTTCTACAGCTGCTGGCTTCGGCAAGCCGCCAGCATGTTGGAGTCGGTATTTTTCAGCCCGCGGTCCTATGACCGGCGGTCTATGCGGTGGAGACCGCGAGTCAAGCTCTTGTCGCTAAGGCTGCCGGACGATGAGGAGCCTCAGCCGGCGGTTGGGTGGGGGTTGGCCCAGGAAGGTGGCGGAAAGCACTTCGCTTTCGACCAATCTCAACAACTTGACTCATCCAGTTTTCTGGGGCCCCCGAACTTTGTACATCCTCAAGTCGGGTGGAAGCCGAAGCTTGGACAGGTATTTCACCAGCTGCGGCAGGTGTCTGCTGCAGCTCCCAGACCGAACAGCGACACCCGAAGAGACGGCTCCCAGACCGAACAGCCGTGGGGCTTGGAAGGTGGTTTAGCTCCTTCTCGACCAGTCAGCCGCTCGCTGAGAGCTTCCCAACGGCAGACCGCGCGATGTTTTTCGCGCGATGTTTTTCGCGCGATGTTTTTGGGCGTTTACAGTAACGGTGGCCATTGTTTCATATTGGTTGCAATCTCACAAGAGGATCATTTCTTCATTTGGTGGAGGGAAGTTTTCTTAGATATTCTTAGTACAGTGTTGTGTGGGAAGTCCATTTTGGGTGATCATCATCTGCCGAAGTTCATGATGCTTGCGGGCTTCAAAGGTCCTTTTTGCTCTCATCTACCGATCGCAGGTGATTTGAACGCAAGCATACGCAAGATCGTTCGCAGTGGTGCTTGAAGTGGGGTAGAGTTGCCTTTCAACCAGCGTTTCCCAGCTTTTTTTCCCTTTCTTTTTGGACATGGCCCTTTCCTGTTCCACGCAGCCTGGAAAGCTCCGCTGGACAGCTCCGCCGGTCCGGCGCGGCCAGGGGGAAGGATTAAGGATTTGATTTTTCAGTGTCTGTTCCACAAAGCTTTGCGGCTAAAAAGACGCTACTAGTAGCTCCTGGCATTACTACTAGTAACAAGACGCTACGTTCGGAACAAAGGGCATCGCTACTAGCAGCAAGGATACTATATATATATATAGATATATTCCCATCCCTATCATTCCTTCTCCACGTGGTCACCTTCCTCGCTCCGCCAGAACTGCTAATGCAAGCGCTTTGCTGGTACAGCGGCAGGCAGGTCTTGTGGTCTTGCGTAGAACTACAAGACTCTGATCAATGTCGAAGCTGCTTGCAGAATCTTGCAGAATGATTTGTGCTTTCATTCCGTAGGGATCCAAGTACCTTCTCAGAAGGTACTTGGACCCTCCCAACCTATATACATAACAGTAACAGTGTCTCCAATCACAATCACCTTCTGAGAAGGTACTTGGATCACTGATAGAATAGTTGCTTGGTGAGTTCATCGTTCTCTTGGATTTGTTTGCCTGTTTGTCGGGCCTTTCTTCGCGCAAAGTTGCACTCGACTCTTTGTAACATGGTTTTCCAACCGGGGGTGCCTAGCTTGTCCCTACAGAGTGTTTGTCCATCACAGACAGAATGCTGCAGGTCGGTTAAGCCCGCTTTGATGCTGAGAGGCTGAGAGGCGTCTTTTCCAAGAAGGCAAAGACAAAGCATGGAACGATTGACCAGTGAGACAGGATTGGTTTACAGGTTCCAAGCCCAAAGAGATTTTCCCAGCATTTCTATTACTCTCAAGCTGCACGGCCATGCTGGGGTTCTTCCCACAGAATCTGCTTGAAGGGTGCAGTCATAGGATTCTGGTACCGAGATCAGATCCCCTGGGGTCTCCATGTAATTGGAGCTATCGCTGGCACTTTGTATCACATTGAGTCTGTCCTATTACCTGTAACAGGCAGTCAGTAAACGATTATCACTATTTTAGAGAAAGGCCTTTACTAAACATGATCATCCACTGTTACTGGTAACAGGATACACTTCTAGGCAGGCATCAACATGGAAAGGCACAGGAGCCCATCCCATCCCCGTCGAGAACACTGCCACTTATTCCCTGATGGGATCTCAACACGGGGTCACAAAGAGCCTCACGTGCGGGCAGGAACCTTACACCACTTACACACCAAGATGTTTGGGCTTTAAGTTCGTTACCAACCTTGAGGGATTGGAAAAAAACCGAGTCCGCCACAGAAAACGCAAAAGGCCCGAGCAAAAATACCAAGTCGTTCTCTTTCTGACAAAAAACCCATCACCAGCGAATCGCCTCGGGCCCAACGAGTCGCATATATATAAAGCTCTCATATATAAAGCAAAGAGCCTGGCAAAGCACAACCTCCGAAATCCGGGAGAGCCAAGGACATGGGGATCCGGGGCCTGGTCACGGACATGGGCGGACACGGGTGGGGTGTCTAATCAATGGCCCTTATTACAGATTAAGGAGTCCATAAGGGGCCTGGTACATGCTTTGCAACTTCAAACATCTTCAATCTTTTTTCCTCCAAGACTTGCAGCACTCCATGGATCTAACAAACGAGTTGCTTTTTCGCCAGCGAGTGACACGGAAGCGACGGGCGCGACGAAGAAACAGCGCACAGATCCGTTGAAAGTCACTTCCTTGTCACTCTGCTGGCTTTCCTGGTTCCCGCTTGCCACTTGGTCGACTGTGGAACCTGTGCCAGCTGGGGCTGAGAATCTTTGGGCACGCGCGATACCACGCATCCTGCGGATCGCGTGCGTGCGTGTGTTGTTAGGCGCCCAGACTCTCTGGGTACACTCGAGATGAGCTGCGAATCGCAGAGTTAGAAAGCCATGGGCAGCTCAGCCAGGCAGAACCAGCAGCACCTTCACAGCCGTTCGAACGGACCAGCACCACCTACACTTGCCGGAGGGTCAGACTGATGATTTCTTGAAGGTGAGAAGACTGGCAGGGCAGCTCGTAAGTCGAACGGGAGCTCAGTCCTCAAAGGCAGGGACCGTGTCCAGGTGCTTCGCAGAGGCCGAACTCGCCGAGTTCGGGTGGTGAAAGGTCGGTGACCCAACCACCTTCTACCAGCCCCTCCTCCACATATGTTTCAGATCGCTCGCCATGGTCACAACCGCCTTCGTCTTCCTTTCATTCACCGAATTTTGGGTTCCTGCTTCGTTGGCCTGGCTGAAAAACCACGGTGATCCACCGCGTTTGATCCCCGGTGTTCACCGTGTTTCGTTTGATGCGGCATCACCGGGTCCGGTCCGATGGTTTTTTTGTTCAATCTGTTGAGTCCGACACGTTGTTCTGCAAGTCCGGAGCCGGCTCTTCCTTCATGGTCTCCGTATAGCTCCTACACTGTCATACGGAGGTCTCCCTCCCAAGGCTCTTCTTCTCGTACGTAGGTGATGGAGACTTGTTGTTTTTTGACGGCATAGCGGCATACCTGGCTGAAGTCCAACCCGTAAGAAACACAGACAGGTTTTGTGGCGTTTGGATTCGAAGAGACATGGGCGATTTCTTGCCTTCAAGATGTTGCGGGTCCAACCATCAGCCATGATCTCCTTTGATTTCAACAAGGGTTTTCGGGGGTATCATGGAGCAATTCTGTCACACACGGCCAGAATTATGGCTGTTGTCTTTCCAGAGCGAGGATGGACGTCAGGAACACTTGTCTTTTGTCTTTTAACCCATGGCTCCGAATCTCATGGCTCTACGAACAGGACCTTTTCACCCTCTGACTTTCGAAGGTGCCAAGCCTCCAACTCAACACCTGGCTGTTCCGGGGCACCTGGATGTTCCGGAGCGGACTGTGGACGGCAGCGAAGGAGAACTCAACAAAAAGGCTCGCGCGGTTCCGTGCGCCCGTTGGAGTCCGCTGGATGAGGCAGTTCGGATTGGATGTGCTTCCACTTTTGCCAAGAGTCCGCTAGTGCCATGAATTGGTACCCTCTGACGAACACATCACATGGAAGTGGAACATGGTCCCTTGGAAGACTACCTTCCTCTACCAACAAGGGGTTTTCCACTTCCATGTTAGTGAGTCAGAGTGTAGATCTGTTTAAAGACGGGAACTTCATGGAACTTCCCTTAATGTAGAATGTTGACAAAACCTCTTCCAGCCTGCGGGGCTTGAAATATAATCAAGATTCTATTCTATATTAAGGAATCATAGAAGTGGATGGCACCACCTGTTTGGCATTCGGACAAGGGTCATCCAGGGGCCATGCCATCCACTTCCATAATGATTCCAGGGAGTGTACATGACCTGGAACCACGGTCCCGGTAAACATCAGTTGATGTGAGATGGTAATGTAATGCATATAACGATATATACAGTATATAGATGTTATCGGCTATCGGCGAGTTATTGCTAAAGGTTCGAAGTCCCATCCTCCTCCACTGTTACAGGTCACGAGAATACCTCTCACTCGGGGCAGTCGAAGGTCACTGAAGGTCACCGGCTTCGAAATCCACAGGATGATGGATCCAACCGAAAGGGTACTGTAGGTTTGATGAAGGACCGAGAATTTACAGCTGATTGAGAGTCAGATTTGAATTTAATCTCACCAAACCCTTAGAACCTGGAATCTTCAACCTTGAATTCAAGAAGAAGGAGAAGAAGAAGAAGTCAGATTGATCCAACCCTCAACTGGCTGAGGCGGCGCGGGCTGTTTGCCCAGCACGGCTCGTGCGCCATGCGCGGTATGCCAGCGAGGCAGGGTGGGGTCTTCTGAAGGTCAGTAGACCTTGCAGTTGCAGGATCCAATGAAAGTCTGGCAGTTGTCACGGATCAACCAACAATTCAAATGCGTATTACAGCTTTTGTAGTCGTGGGTTGGGGTGAACACCTGATAACACTAGGTCTATTTAGATCAAGTTTGGCAGATCGATGGATCAACCCTTTCCAATGGAACCCTTGCAAGGAGTCTTTGCTACAGGAGTCCAGTGGTTCTGCCAGGGGCAGCCCTGGTGTCATGTGCCTGGAGTTTAAACTTAGTGAATCTTCACCACCCATCAGGATCCTCGGGTCTGCAGAGGGTCCACGGCGGAGGCGGATTTGAGTCTCAAGTTTGTAATGATAGGCGAGTGAGATAGGCGAGATGAAGATGAAGTAGGCCTATGGAACCTATTGCTCATTGCAAGCAAAGGCCGTGAAGGGCCGTGAAGGTCAAGAAGGTCTTAGGTGTCACTGGCATTACGGATGAAGGGCATGGTGATGTGCGTGTGGCTCATACGACCCAAGCCAAGAACCTGCAGGTTCTATTGTTATCTATCTATATATAGTTTGTTTATGTTTGTCTTGCAGCTTCAAAATGGTGGCATGGCACCCCCGGTTTTTGAGCTCAAAGCCATGTGTGACAGAGACCCAGTCAGCCCGTCAGATCCTTTGATCTCCAGGACACACGGCCGCGCACGCGAGCCCAGCGAGCTCGAGCCGAGCCAGAGCGAGCAGAGGTCGGTCAGGCGACGGGTGAACGGGCGGAAATCGATAGACATGGGCAAGAGGTCTTGGGGTACAAACGATAGCGTTCTCATGAGCTTGGCTTATTGTATTCTTAGTATATTAATGTTGTGAGTTTGAGGTAGGCAACAAAAATATGTTTTTGATTTTTTTTCTTTTATGATTTTGTTATGTTTTTTTTTTTTAACGTTTTCCTTATGATTTGGTTACGATTGACTTTATGCAATTTTATGATTTTTTGGTGGGTTCGTTTTTTGGATATGATTTGCTTATGGTTTCGTTATGATCGTTGAGGTCTGCAATTTCACTTATACAGAGCCTTTTGGGTTGCAAAGCATGGTTGTTGAGATGTGTGTTCAGCCAAGTTTGTGTATTTTCACAAGATTTACTCTGCTACACAGAAAATACATTTTTCAGAAAATCACATGGACAATTGCAAAACAGATCTTTGTTGTCCTGCAAGTCTCTTGGTCCGTTTTCTGGTTGGGTTTAAATGCAACTAAAAACTACGCAGGAATAGAATAGTCTCTATTGTATGATGGGTTTTGAGAACTAACTAGTGATTAGTGTTTTGAAAGGAACCACTTCACTAATGAAGGCAGAGAGGAGTTGGCCTTCATACATGAGTTCCCAAACCTCATGCAAACTGACACCAAAGCTGGAAGCGATCGAAAGGACTTGAAGTGGCAGGCTTGGCTGCAGCTATATATGCAATTTTGTGATGCCTGCAAAGACCAAAAACACATACCATAATTTTTTTTGGTGGCATTTTAAAACCATAAGAAAATCATATATAACCATTTTCATATCAAATTCAAGGGCTCCTTAACACGCATAAAAAAACAAAAAAACACACACATAACCCACAGTGTATCAAAATCATAACAAAATCATAAAAGAAAAGAAAAAAACATTGGCACCAACCTAAAACTCACAATATTAATGATCAACAAAGGTGGGTGCGCTGAAGTGACTTGGCACATCTTGGGTACTGGGTCTCGGTGACGGGGGATTTCAGTCAAAACTGAACAATGGCCTTCTTTCAAGAGGGCGGAAAGAGATCAAGTGAACAATTTTTGTGCATGTAGTACGTCTTTTTTTTGCAACATCGTTTTGATCTGTTGTCACTGTCAACCGCAGCCCATTGGCAACCGATCATACCCATACCCACGTGAAGAGAGGCTTGATTGAGTGCCAGGCAGTGGGTCCCAAGACGCCTCCGTTTTTCCATTTGTTTTATGCACAAATTTTCACTTTCACGGTTATGTCTTAGTTCATCCCTCCAATCGAGGAGTCCTGCATTACATTCTAGATTGCCTCAGATGTGCCTAGTCTTCCAGGAAATCCATTCTCCAAGAGCGGTTTGTCTTCCCCAACACCACCATACGCAGAGTAAAAGACTTGGGATTGGACGATAATCTAAAGGGATCATCAGTGGGCGTCATGCACCTCGCGATCCAGGTTACTTCTGACCCATCGTGTGCAAAAACAACACCCACCGGCCACCGACCTGACACGAGGACATTTCGCCACCCGACGAGGGCCCCCCCAAACGTCCAAGACCGCAGGCGCGTCTCTGGGACTTGATGGAGAAGAATGCGCAGATCTTTCATCCCAAGATGCTGCCGAAGATCCTGGTGCGGGAGCTCAAACAGGTTTTCGCTGCTGGTTCCGGTTCTCGCTGAGAAATAGATCGACACGGTGTCCAGCCGACGCGATTGGAGGATCCTGACGCGGTCGGACGGTTCCTTTTGTTGGAACCCGGTGGTTGCAGGGAGCAGTCGCTGAGAGGTTGTTTCTGGTGCCCCCCCCTTTCCCCGTAGTTTGGGTCAAAACCAATGCCCACCAGAGCAAAAGTCTCCTTGGTAGAACTATTCCGTTCATTGTGGCGGTGACAGCATCCGCACTCATGCCGTCAACCAGAACACACAATTGCCAGTACGTAAGTAGTTCTTTTCACGTTCTCACCCATCCCACTAGGGGAGCTTTTGCTTTGTACTGATACCCATCCGCTCACGCTGTGGGTCATTTGAAGCTTGCGCTTCGGTTCACCACCCGGTGTCACTGCGAGTTTCGCACCGGTGTTGAAACGCCCCGAGCTAGCTGGCCTGTCCACCCGGGGTGAGACATACCACGCCCTGATTGTCCCGATTGAATCGCTGGGGCCTGGGGATGGAAAACATCATCTTTAAGGGAAGGCGAAAGAAATCACCACGGTCAAGCGAGGTGATCGTTGATGAAACACATCGTTCTTTCGTGCGTTAAACGCCTTTGAGTTGGGGTGAACAGGATGAACAGGCGAAGGGACACTCACAAGATTTTGGTCCCAACTTTGTGTTCTTTTTTCTTGACTTCAAGCGGGCAGTACTTGGGCCTTCATGGCGATTCACCCAAGGCACCTTTGCAGAAGGGTTGAAGAAGTCGAGATCAGAGATCCTGGCACTTTCGGGCCACCGATTGGAGGGAACTATAAGACCAGATGACCTGATACGAACAGATGACCTCACCACCCCGACTGGCCCCCACTGGCAGCCCCTACTGGCGGCCCCTACGGTTCAGCCTGAGAACTAGGTGCCAGCTGCTGCACTGCGGGGGGCTGAGAAGACGTTCTTTTTTTTTGGGTCCGGGGGGCATCAGAGGGTTTCGGATGAAGACACCACCGAAGGAGTCAGTCGGTCCATGGTTTTTTCATGACATTGAACCATGAAGCAACGAAGAGCGACCTGGGAGGCAAGGAAGCATGGATATGTTTTTCTTTGGAGCTGGAGCTGGTGTTTTCACAGCAGCAGATGGATCGTCCTTCCCATATCTTCCCATTCTGACGATAATCATGCACCCAAGCTGCTGGTCCCTGGGTAAAGATGCACCCGTTCTTCTATGTTTAAACGTGAACTTGTTCATTCTGGGCCGAATGTGGAGTGTTCTTTTTAGAACAATTAAGATACTGTATGTTTTCAACCATTTTTCAGTGAAAGATTACCACGATTCAGACCACATAAACGAGGCACATCAGAGTTGCATGAAATTCCGCGAACCGCAACCAACCAGGGTGGTGGTTTCAGACATGATCTTCAACCTTTGGGATGGAAAAAGTCACTGTTTCAAGTGAGTTGACACCACCAACAGAGAATCTGAGAGAAACAGTGACTATTATAATCCCTCTCTGAGGAATCTGTTTCAAGCGAAACCTTGAATCCTCAGAGAGAAACTCCGAATCTCGCACTCCACTTCCAGGAGTCCGAGCGAACAGCAAGATGTTCGTTTGGGCAGGGGCAGCTCAGACAGGACCGGAGACGGCCTACGGTTCCTGCGGGTTGGAGGAGACGGTATATCGGTGGCCACCCGCATCGAAGTTCGAGTCCACCGCTGAAGCAGGGCCAACACCCTTTGGGTGTGGCCCTCACCCAGAAGCTGGACTGGGTGGACCCTGAAGATGCGATATAAAAAATATCGACCATCATGTGGCTTTTGAGACTGTTTCAATGTTTGTGGAATGAACACGTTGCTGGACACTTCAGATGACGGGGCTGACTTCGAACCGACGGTTGGCTTCGTTGGCCGGTCGCGGGTTCCGAAGATTGGTCGACCTGAGGTCGAAGACCACCAGGATCACCGAGTGGTGGCTGGTCAGACAAAACCCAGGACAAGTGGGCAGATGAGCCCTGATTTTTGAGAAACAATTGGGTCATTTGCAGTACACAAGAGGAGGTAGAGAGTTCGGTGGACGTTCCCAGGGATCGAAAGGGGTGTGACCAACCAGTAGTTTGGCCCACCACGAACCTGGCGAAAGCCCAATAGGTTTTGGTGGTTGATGGGAGCCCAATAGGCCTGATGTGATTGACGGAGGAGAAGACTTCTATGTTTGAAGCATTTTCACATCATACTTTCATTTGCTTTTCACTGTCCATTAAGATCCTTTCATTTTCCTTAAGTCTAGTGTGGCTCCCATGAGACTTGGCATTCAAAGACCCAACTGTTGGGAGTTGAAACCCACAACGTCCCACAGCGTCCCACGCCGCGGGTGAAACCCGCGCCCAGTTCAGCTCTTGCAGCGGGCGATGAAGTACTTGGAGCGCGATGGCAGCCGGGCGGCAGGGTGGCTGTGGTGGCCGTGGGGTTTCTCCTCGTCCGGCCCTCCATGAAAACGCCGAACGAAGGCAATACCATGCGGTGAAGTGTCTCACAGCTAGTGTGGAGGTCAGCAATTGACAGAAGGGAAGCAAACCATGAAAAAGACAACACATCATTGAGACTTCGACCACCATGGCTGCCATCTCCCTGAGAATATACTGTTCGACCATCCGAGTGACCGAGTGGTCTTGTGCAAACCTGCGATCTCCGTGGAGCCCAACTTCGATCTCCGTGGAGCCCAACTTCGATCTCCGTGGAGCCCAACTTCGATCTCCAAAACGTCCGTTTTCAAGGCACTTGGGTTTGGACTATCTCAGCTAATAGGGCTATAGGGGTCAATGTGCCAGAGTGGGGAGGAGGCATTTGTGGTGTTTCTTTTTTTTTGACACGGAGATTGGGGCGCTCAGGAAAGATCTCAATGTCTGGTGGAAAAGGATTTGATGTTCACTTGGCCCTTCGCTGGACTGACCAAGCATCTCATCTCACTACCAGGAGCCTCATTGATGTCCCATTTTGGCTTGATCTACTATATAGTTATAATCATTGTCCCTACCCATTTCCAAGAATATGGCAAGTACGACTGGAGAAAAGAACCTCCTGCAGAGAATTGGGGCATAATCTACTATGCAAGGGCAGCAGTTCCAGAGCAACAGGGGGGGACTCGTTCTCCTAAGTGGGCACTTGTCAAGCCCCCACGACCCAGAATGATCAGATGATCTCATCGCCCACAGGGTGATCTTCACCGTGCCTCCGCCGCGTTGATCTTCACCGGAGCCCATGGGACCATGGGTCCCACCGTGGATTTCGTCCGTGGAACCGGACGTGGGACCAGCTGAGGTCCTCTGGTTCCGGTCGTCGGTGCCAAAGGGGCCTGCTCCATCGTCAAGGCCTGCGGTGTCGTCGCACTGTGCGCGGCTGGTCGGACGCGGTGACAGATGGGAGTTGGGGTGGCAGAAGAGGTTGACAGATGCTGACTTATGAGGAGATCCATTGAGAGATCTACACAGATCTGTCAGATCCAACAGATTGGAAGATGCTGATGGACGCTGATGCTGAATGAGGTCTACTGAATTTGGGATGATTTTTTTGACTCGGAACCGATTCTGTGGGTCACTGAGGTCCGGGATGGCGAACAAACAGATCTAAGACTGATCAGGAGATCCACGGTCCCCTCCCTAGGGGCGAAGAGCTTTGGACATCCGAGTGGGCGACACTACAAGACTTGATGGGAAAAAGGCGACTCTTGCTGGGAACCGTAGTGGAAAGGATGACTCTTTTCCTGGGCAGTGATTAACCCGTCCAACGACCCAACGAGAAGTCCCCACCGATCCGAATGCCAGGCCTCCCGTCAGTTGCACACCCCAGAGGTGCCCTGCGGCTCGCGCGCGCGTGCGCGCGCCAACTCGCGCCCTGTGGCGGTTCGAGGGGTACTGTATCTCTATTCTTCCATGCTGTTTGAGTTGAGAGGTGGAGCATGGATCGAACATGAGCTGCTTGACCGTGAGATGATGAGCTTGGAACCATCGTTTGTGCATGGATCCACAGCTCCCACCGGCGAGGCACGCAGCTTCTCCTTGAAATGGCTGGGCGTGATGTGCGCTCAGGTGGAGAGAGTTCTCGGGCCTTCCGGTCGGGTGAAGTCCTGAAAGGTAAGGGTCAAGATAGACCTGAGGTTGGCGGGCCTTGAGCCAGCCATTGGCTAGCGGCTAGCTCAAGGTTTCAGGGCCACCTGTATAGAATAGCTCTAATCCTGGCGGGAGCCATGGTAACTGGCCAGGGGGGCACCTTTTGGAACTTGGTGGTTCATTTACATGGATCACTTCTTTGAGCAGGTGGAAATCAATGGAGCCAATCACTGCCTTGAAGCCTTGGCGCCCACGTTCTCAGGTGCTTTCGTAATCCTATGGCCACTTGAGATTGTAGTCAGTGAGACCGTGAGAACCCCTGATCAACTGGTGAGACGTGAGACCGTGAGTGCACGTGCAGGGTGCTTCGTAGATTGGGCTGATGTCTCCGAAAACACGCATGCTTGGCATGCCGGGTGCTGATGATTCTCAACGTGCTGGCTCATTGGTATGCAGTGAGGAGGAACAGCCTCTACTCTATTGGTTTCGGAGTAGACGGCACAAACCGATGTCGTTTAGATGGGACTCCACATAAACCACCGACCTTGATCGACCTTGGGGATTGTGCCATCTACTCTCAACGATCTCTCTAAGGCATGTGGGCGATTTTCGTCACTTCTCGCTGCGCTGCGCATGTGGGCCGCACTGGCCCGGGAGCGTGCTTTCACGGTCCTCACATTGCAGCAGCCAATGCCGTGGTGACGCGGCGTCACCGATGCCGTCGCAAGAACGGACGATGCGGACGGTCAGGTGCCACGAGAGGCGGACGAAGTAGCGTTTCGTGCCTTGGGAAAAAGGCTCGTGTTCGGAGCTCGTGAAAGCTGGCTTTAGGCAAACCACACGGGTGGCTGACTATGCGATGGCAAGGCCGGGAGATCGGGAGGCTTTGTCAATGAGGTTTAGAGGCAGCTTGTGCATTCACCCCACCGAGCTCCAGCTTGTAAACCGCTTCTGGGATGCTTTGGATTCTTGGAAGAACGTCTTCCAAGACCGACCTGGTCCATCAGCCTGCTGAATCTCCGGTGCAGAGTTCCTTCAAAAGGACCATGCCTTGCAGCTGAACTTCATGGCTGGCTCGCAGTTGCCCCAAAGGGCCATGCATGTGCAAAGCGAAGAGCGCAAAGCCGTTGGACCAAAATGGAACCCTTTCTTTTGGCTAACCGCAGGTCCGGATTTTGCCGTGGAGGTCTCGCTAGCATGGGTAACTGCGAGTTCGTTATTTTGCAGCACATGATGTCTGGGACCTATACTAGCAAAAAAGAACGTGATTTCACATGCCCCAGAATCCTGGCAATTCTTTTCCCTGAGATAGCTCAGCTCATCCGATATTTGTGAGTGACATCATTCCTGATATGCAACCACTGATTGCTTGGGCCAAGCCTTTTTTGCAACGCCGTTTCACAGCAACTCCACTCTGCACACAGTTGCACTGACCCTCATCAGTGGCCCCCCAAAACGGGTGAAACCAAACATAAGACAAACAGCATGATGTTGCAAAAACCATCATGTTGCACCCAAGCATAAGACAACCACCACGTCGTGGTTTGTTTTTTGGGTGCAACCAACCGCGTGCAAAAAATCCATACCCAACATGCGAAGGTGTTTTGAGCCTTGTTTTCCCGGGTCGTTCGGGTCGTTCGGGTCACGACGCCGCAGGCGCCGTCGTTGGACGCTTCGTTGCTGGCCGAGCTGGCGCAGGTCCTGCTGGTGGAGTGGGTGGAAAGCAGTGGCCTTTGTTGAAGCACTTCAGCGTTTTCTACTCGAAAAGTGAATTCCCTAAGCAAAAGGGGATTGGAAAAGCACTTCAACCAATATGCTGTAGTTGGATCAGAAGAGATGTAATTTCAAGGCTTTTCTTGGGCTCTTTCCATTGTTTTGGGCACGTTTCTTGGTTTTCCTCTTCTCGAAGATCTATCGAAGCCGGACCAGGAGCTTCGCTCCGGACCCCAACCGACACACGACCGGACCGAGTCAGCTTCGCGCTCCGCCGAGTTCGGCGGCCCGAGTCTTTTTGACAGCGGGGAGACTTGGCGGGGAGACAGGAGCTCTTGCGGTTCAAGATCTTGGATGAGGAGATTTGGGAGGCGGGTGCGAACGCGAAGGAGTGAGTGGTGTGGGACAGAATGCGGACACCGACCGGCAGCCTTTGCAAGCTTTTGTTTTTCTTCCAACCAGTTTCGGTAAAGGGTCGAGCGATGATTCAAAGGCAGACTTTATGCTTGTTGGTGAGTTTTCTATTTTGAGACATGCCAAACTCTTTGGAGAGGGCAACACAGAGGAACAGGGAATTATATACGTACTCTATATCCACCCTGAACGTCCTTTATTCTATTGACGTGACGAGCATATCAATTTGCATGCCAATGTCAGAAAAAAAGGATCTTCAAGTTACTGTTTAGTCCACTTTAGGAGTCCACTTGGATCACCCAAACACCCTGAGCCGCACTCGTGAACCCTGAGCCACCCGTCAGACACATCATCACTTGGCCGTCCGACGTTGGAGTTCAAGACATGGAGAGCAAACATGGGATCACCTGGGATCAACACCTGGACCAAAAAGCGCTTCAGACCTGGACATGGAGAATTTGGACGCCAGCCCAGATGTGGCTGGCCCAGAGGTTTGAAGAAAGAAGACGCCGAAAAAACATGAAAAAAAAGGAAAACAAAAACAACACCGGAAAACCGCAGACCTCTGGACTCTTCGCCCGACCTCTTCGCCCGGACGAAAACGCCCGCCTCTTCCCACCGCGAGGCCTTGGCGCGGACCGTGTGCGAGCGGTGCGACGGGCTGGGTGCGGCGGAGGTGGCCGGGACACTCCCAGAGCGATCGACGGGTGGTGGGACAGGTACGGCTGGATCAACAGAGAGAGGTCGTGTTTGCAGGAATTGGATGGTTTTTGCACGGATTGATACGGATTCAGTGGAGAGAAGTGGGTGAAGAACACTTCTGTTTGGCTGGAGTGTCCTTGACGGTCTAAAACTGGGTTCACTTGGTGTATTGCGTATATAAGTATAGTATAGTTATCTATATTCTGTTGGAGCCTGGATTACCGTATCCGAAACTGGCTTGCAGCATGGGACAAGAACGCTTGGTCAATTGAGTAGTGAACTGGCTGAACTGTGTGTGTACCTCGTTCAGGCCCTTTTCAAGCATGTTTTTCCTTGTGGCCCTTTCTGCATGTGTGCAAGCAAGAAGACATGCGTCACAAAGACGCTTTGCAGTCCCGAGTTTCGGCTGGTGAGCAATTGGTCCGAGGGGCCACGGTCGGCACCGTGTGGCACAGGGAGTTTGGTCACTGAAGAAACTGTGTTTGGTTGGTGTTTTTTGTGGTTTCTGGTTCTCCTTTTCCTTGCCAGTTTCATTTCCCATGTCCCTTCCCTTTCGGATTCCTTGAAGCATTCCTTTTTTTAAAAGAGTTTTCCTCAAGTTCTTTTCTTTCCTTTCGTAAAGACTTCGTCTTCACATGGACGTAAGATCAGAGCTTCTTTCCACGAGTTTCACTATTCAAGACAGCCACATCCCTCACTCTATCACAACACCACCTTGTCTATGCCTCAAGCTTCTGGAGCTTGTACGAAGCTCACCGGGTTCATGAATGGCGGCGAAAGGCACCAAGAACACAGCGGAGGATGGCTTGAAGCATTTACTGTAGAAGCAGGATGGCGGATGGTGAAGTCTCCATGCAACCACCCTTGGAGCTCCAAAAGCCCCCAAAGCCCATGGTGGATGGTCCGGCGAACTCCCATGTGTACGACCCGGCGGCGTTGCGGACGACCGGAGTTGCTTCGCCCAGGTCCCGCTGTTGGACGCTTTCAAGCGCTCCTACACCTCGTCGAAGGTGGACCGTGCCATCGTAGCCCTCTGCCGCTCGGAGAGCGGGACGCCGTGGGGTGTGGACCCCCCAGTCATCCCCCTCACTCTGGGAATGAGAGCAGTATGGACGGTGAAGACTCCACATGAACACAGAAGATCAAGCGCTTTCTTGCCATGGCCACCCCAAGCAACCTAGCCCTGACCTGCTGTCCTTTGGCTTTGCCCGCTTGATCCGCGGTTGCTTCCAAAGGTCAGAGAGCCACGGACTGTTGCGAGGACACGGCGCACGGCTGGCTGTGTGCAAGTTGGTCTATCGGTGGTTTAAGGGTGATCAGTGATGAGAATTATTTGGACACTTGTGGAGAACCCCCTCTGTCATTTGTAGCGGGAACATGATTTTTCCACCACTTTGCGGCACCTTTGTGTGGCCCCTCAAATCACGTTGAGGAGATTCGAGTGCCAGAGAACTGGAAGGTATACTTCAGTACCTTCGCCACTTTTGTGGTCCCAGATGTCATGTGGCTAGATCCCCCATTCAAGGTGCACGAAAGCTCCTAAATATACAGTTGGTTCATTTTCTGGGAGTTCATCGGATGATCACCTCACTGGGCGTAGGATAGACTCATGAAGAGGGGGGCTGGGAAGCAATTCTTACCACGCATTCCCACTTTCCGTGGCAACCCGGCAATTCCATCAAACAGTTAAACAAATAAGGTTCCCAGGTTGGCGGTAGGAGTCCAGGTGCAGCAAGAACCTGGCAATTCGAGGATAGGCCTGCTATTGAATTATTGAGCAGATTGGTATCTCTGGGTGTGGCAGGAATTCAAACCATCCAACTGAGATACCCCCAGCAAAAACGAAATAAAGGTGGCCCAGTTCATTCATTTCATTCATTCACCTTCACTTTCCTCCCATCGGTTACTTACAAATCAAAGGTTCACTGCTGGAGCGTCACCCCAAACGCCGCACGAAAACACGAACCACCTCGCCTCACCGACCGGTCGCACCCCGGTCGCCCAGCTGACCTGGTGCAGCGAGGAGTTTTCGCAGCGGCAGTGTGTGGTCGCCGTGGCCTCGCTGTCAGCTGTCCGCAGTGGGGTGAGAGTACTGGGTTCGGGACCGCCTGTTTAGGCAACGACCGGAAGGAGAATGGACCAGTCTATCCATTCGGACCGGGGATCTCCCCTTTTAAAATAAATATCCGAATGGAAGTACGAAAAAGGTGGTTCAACAACTATAGGCACCCTCCCCCCAAAGAAATATATGGAACTCTTGTGAAATGTGCAAAGGTAGCTCAGGAAGTCCACCAAAAGTTTTGTTCTTTTTTTTTCCGCCAGGCAAAGAACAAACCAAGGTAAGTTGGGAAACACTTGAGACGTGCCGCAGAAACGTTCTTTTCTGCATCGCCCCACCGGGGGCAGTTCAGGACAGAGTTGGACTTGGTTTCATGACTGAAGGACAACTGATCCTATCCACCAACCAACCAGCCTGTGCGACATCGCTTGCATGACCTCGGCACTTGGATGACCTCAATCAATGCAGAAGAAAGAACGAGACCTTTCTATACCAACAGCCCCCCTGTTCTACTACCCGAAGTCCCTGAAGCCTGAAGTCTGCCTTTGGTAACTATGTTGTGAAGCAATTTTTGGGCCGAGAGGGGACATGCATTTGTATGTGATTTTCATGTGGCATGGTGCAGTCGAAAGTGAATTAGGGCCCCACACATCACAATTTGAACAAAAACTCGTTATGTCATTGGGAGATTCAAGTTGAAAAGGCCAGATTCCCACCAGGGTGCCTCCCCATATTGACACAATATTGGCATGCCTCCAAGGCAATGGTTTCTTTTCCTTTTCACCCATTTGACTGGCTTGAGTCTAGCAACCTCAGCAGAGTCTCCATCTATGACTTTCTTTTGGGGCTGCCCTTGTGTTTGAAGTCGTGACATCCAAGGAGTGTTTGAGCAGGCCCCGCAGGTTCCACACTTTTCTGGTTTTTCAACGAGTCGCTGGACTTCCCCTCCGACCTTCCCGTTGCTGCCTTCTTTTCGTGCCGCGCACGAAGCCCAGGTGCCGCCTCTCCCGGGCCGTGCCAGCCACACTTCTGGACCAGGCCAGCAAGGGCCCGGCCGGTTTGTCATTTCCAAACGGGGCGCCCGACTCCGGGCTGTTGAAATAGAGGGTTGTTGTTTTGTTTTCCAGAGATTTGATGGTCTTTGAAGTTGAAAGCAGACGGCAAGTTCACCCCATGTCTTTTGTTCCATTTGGCAAAGCCCCGCGCCGCCTACCTCGTGTCGAAGAACATATGTTCGGACTCAGCAGCACCACGGTTCAGATGCCCAAAGACGGTTTAGGTGTTTAGGTTCAGAGGAAAAAACATCATAGGTGCAAGCAGGCTTGTGTGGGCCTACCACAATGTTCGTAATCCTTCTGCTTGCTTCAGCTGCACTTCTTCCATGAAACAGGTGGGATGAAAAGTCACGCGGTTGCTTCCTCGCTTCGATGTGCCGTGGCACCCTCTGGGCGGCCGCAGGTGATTCATCGCTTGCTGGAGACCTGGCTGGTGCGCCGGCGGGTCGACGGAATCTCGCCGGCGACGGTCGAAGCGCGCGGAAACCGAGGCGTCGAAGAAAGCTGAGGTAGGGAACGGTGCCGGAGGCGCTCTCAAAACTGTAGCTGGAACTGAACATGGGACAGACACATGCTGTATTTGTGCAGCAGAAAGTCGTGTTGGTAAAAGCAACCGCTGTTGGGAACGCCACACCAACGCCGTGACCAGAGGGTGACCAAGGGCTACAGGAGATCGGATTCCTCAGATACCTCAATCTATGTGTAGCAAATTCTGGAAGAGAGAGTCGGAAATAGGAATCAACATACCAGGACCATCCTGCCGGGGTGTCCAATGGGTGTCGCCCACGTAGTATAGGGTGGTCGTAGTGTAGGGTGGTCCCGAGGGGGGTTTCGACCGCGAATGGATGAAACCACATCGTGATGAGCCTTGGGCATACGTTGTACGGTAAACTTGGATGCCAATCATTCCGTCAACCAGGAACAAGGTTCGCTACGAGTAAGGGGCTCCTGGCATCGCTACGAGTAAGGAGCAAGAACGCTACGAACGTAACAAGGGCATTACTAGCTCATCTCTTATAAATACACATGTGCTGGAAAAGAACTGTTTAAGAGATCCGCACTCTCATGCAGCACGCGGCTTTGCTTGCGCCGAGCCTGTACATTCGCCCACCCAAGACAAAGAGTTCGTAGATCATCCACCAAAGCATCAATCAGTTTTCTGAGGCTTAAGCGCGGGTGGCATTCTGAAGAGCTACAGCCTACAGCTCCTTACTTGGAGTGTGATACAAGACCTTGCAAAAATCTTCGACCATTTTTGGATTATCTATCACAGAATCTCACGCAGGCATCGACATCTTTATTTGCTAAAGCCGAATGGGCGCTGAGCATATTATCAGACGGACGTCCTATCACGATATTTGGATAGATCTGATTAAAGGTTAAAGGTTAAAGGTTAAAGGGAACGACACCGAAAATGCCACTGCTTTGTTGCTTTGTGCTTTTCGGTCGCACCCCTGCAGTGTTGTGTGCCATTTTGGTTCCCTGCATACAAAGACCAACCAACCCGCTCGAAGAGTAAGGGGTAGAGTTAAGCTGGCTCCGTTCTGAGCGAATGTGGGGACCATGCTCTACCAGGTGTTGTGGCTAGGGCTAGGGAATATGAAACTTAAACAAACACCTATATAGGTAGGGAATATGAGTATATGATAAAACCGTCAACCATGTCCGTTTGGGGAGGAGATGGAAGGAGTATGCTGGTAGCTCGAGGCTGGTCCATCTCCAGATCTCTCGGGCTCAATCTGACTTCACCCGGAGCTGGTGCCTGTTTGGACCTAAATCGATATGTTGGGCATGGCGTTTATCAGTTTGATGCTCACCTTTCCAACTGGGAGGTGCTGTAGGTTCGGCAAGAGGCTATAGGTTTAAGTTCCACTTCGTAGACAAGCCACACCAACATGTTGCAGCGTAAAGACATCTCAGCACCAGTACAGTACAGACTTTCTATCAGGCATCATCATTGTCTATATTGTATTTTGAGTCAGGGGGCTCGTCTGAGACGAGTCAGATCTCTTTTTTCGAACCACACTCCAGGTTTTTCAGAAATCCACCAGAACATCTAGATAGCATTTCATGTACCTCGAAGATCCAAGAGCTTTTTCATGCTTTTTTTTCTCAGTTCTGAGAAAGACATCGCAGCTGTACACCATGAGTTGTAGCACGCCCATCGGTGCTCCGCGGGGCAGCTCCGGAAGACGACCGGCATGGGCCAGGCACGAGTGGACGCCTTCTCACGCCAGACCAACGTGAACCAGGCGGCCATGGCGGCGATCGGGTGGACTCACCGGTTTCTTTCGCGTGGATGGGCGATGTGTGGTGGTTCACTATGGAGAGAAGTCCATCTCAGATGACCATGGATGACCCCGGTCGCGGTGTGTGCGCTGCATTCGTCATTCGTTGGGACGGCGTCATTCGTTGGGACGTCCTGTCCGATGGGGGGAAGACTTTGGTTCGGCCTCGTTGTGGGAACCGGACCGGGATCTTACCCCAGATTTGAAGAGTGACACCTGACCTTACCGCGCACAGTCCGAGTCCGGTCTGGCGAACCGGGACCCACGGATCCGAGTTCTGGTGTGGTCGAGAGACCGTGGAACGACCCAGTGGGAACGACCGAGGGGCCACGCCGCCATGCCTCTTTGAGGGCGTACCTCGTGGTTCTACCCTCTGGACCTCTGAACGGCACTTTCACCTACACTATACTGCAAATGCTGTTCGTTTGGAGGAAACTCTTGATTTGGGATTGCTCCATCTGAAGGGCTCGATTTGAAGGGAATGGACGTCTTTTTTCCATGCTGGTGCTTGGACTTGAAGCTCAGCAATGGCGGTGCCTCGGCTGCGCCTGATTTTGAGGCCCAAATCAGCTGGAGTGCTTGTCCCGACCCAAAAATCCTGCACCCAGATCGGGCCACGACCAAACTGGACCTCACCGGGTGTCCTTTTTGGGAGCACCAACGGACGCCGGAAAACTTCTGGGAGCACCGGAGAAAGCGAGAGCACATCTATCATCTCACTATCTATCATCTCACCTCATCTATCCTCATCTATATTTTCCAGATGTCATATCATCTCACTATCTCACCTCCAGGTGTTGGGTGGGCCATTGAGGCACGGAGACGCCCCCCCGCCGGCCCCACGGGTCGTGAGTGAGCGCGGCAGGTCATCTCCCTGGCGATCTCCCTCACAGCCTTGCCCACCAACTCCCCGGTGAGGCCGGAGGATTGAACCAGGTTCTCCTGGAGGGTGGCAGTGGGTGATGTTCTGGGATGTTCAGATGTTCTGGGCATTTGGGTGATTTCTGGCAGGTCAGAGAGTTGTGGCTCAGTCCTTAGCAGACTCGGTCTGCTCCAAGACGAAAATCATCGAACATCGATCTAAAACACCGAAAAACAAGCCCTTTTCTCAAACCGAATCGAATGGGCGCCGAAGCAGAGAGGCCGTTTGCAAGCGATGGGCCGTTGTAAAAACGCCCGTCACAACGCCCGATGGCCATGGCGCCCGAACCACCCCTTTGGGCGGATCGATCCACACCCATGCCGCAGGGCTCGGCAGCTCGCGGGCGCACGGGGCGCGCTGCCGACGGGAAGCGTGGAGATCTTCCAACATCGCCTGGCAGGCAACGTTGGGAAGATGGGGTGGATGATTGGGGGAGTCGCAGGACTTGAACATGAAAAAGGATGTCAGGCCATAAGGGTAAAGCAAGTTATTTGATACTTACAACTTACAACAAACCGTTCTTTTACTGAAGGCAGATCCAAGTTGGATTTCAAAAGGATGCTTCTGTTGATGGACTTCAGTCCTTCACCAAGCCAGGGGCAGATGGAACCCAAGAGCTGGTTGAGTTTGATCCAAATCTCAAATTGGTCCGTCAGTTGGCAATATTTGGTGAATCAGTGATATCTCTATCTCGTGATATCTCATGTGATATTTTATCGAATCACCCAGTGCATTAGATAGACCGGTATATCTGGTGGTTTGGATTTCGGACTCCACGGCTGAATGGAAGCCTGTGCAGACTCCCAGCTCCCTTTCAACCCAAAGTCGCCAAAGTGCCAATGAACACGGTGTTCCAACGTGATCCAACAAGAGAGGAACATGCGTCTAGTTGAAGTTTTGCTGCGCCTGTGCTGTCAACATGTTTATGATGTATGTTCAGCATGAAGGAGAGCAAAGGTCACCTGGAGGCTCAGGCACTGTGGCTTTCATCTCCTTGCGGAGCAGGGTTCTTTGATGTGAAGAGTCTCCGGAAGCAACATGTTCAACAGAATGTTCGCATCAACACATTCTTCTGCTCAATCCATTTCATGCCCGTTGGAGGCCCCAACCAAACACCACGGCCCGCTCGCGTCGCTTCGAGCGCCTCGCTTCGGCCGCCGTCGTCGTCCCTCAGGATGGGCGCACGACTGTGGCGCGCCCGGCGTGGGCGTCCTGTCGCCGGAGGTTGGAGACCGGTGGTGTCGCCGGTGCCGGGAGGTGGGCGGCAGAGGTCGGATGGGACGGATGGGAGGACCGGGAGCAGAGAGGATTGGAACCAAAAGCCTGAGGAATGTAGAACTCTCATGAGCTCTCCAATTATGAATACAGTAAGACTTGCATATGGATTTAGTATTTCTGAACGTGTCCGGTTTATGTAGGGTTGGGATATTCAACTTCGACGAAGCATACCCCTTCAGCATCCCCTCTGAAAATCGTACGTCAAGAGCTTGACCGGTGCGGAACTTGCGCGATCGGATCGATTGGGGTTCTTGTTTCATCCGATCGAGTGAAGGTTTGGTTGCACTCCACCAATTCAGATCAATACAGAGGGAAGTACAGGAGCATGAGGGCAGCCCGCAAAAGACCAACAAAAAGACTCTATAAATCCCTACAAACCTTGTAAGACACCCCTAGAGAGCTTTTGGATTGGGTCAGTTTGCTGATGTTTCTTTCTGCTGTTTGAAACAACACCGACCAGACCGATGTCTTTGTAACAGTCACAGTCCAATGTCATAATATGTGGATAATGGTCGATTCTTTGTCCTTTCGCAGCTCTCGAAAGAGGGAGCCAGTTGCAGGAGCTGATCCTGGTGCTGTGGGCTCTGAAGGATCTCACACCCACCGGGCTGGAAGCTTATGGACCGTCCGACAGAAAACGGCCGCCATACATCGATGCGCTTTTTCAGTGCTCCCAAAAGGTCCAGAACCAGCCAGAAAGATGTTGGCTGAACCTCCGATTCAAGATGGAAGTGGAGTGTTCACTCTCCGTGTTTTGGCTTGGCTGGAAGGGTCTTTTCGCTCGGGAGCATGCATGAAATCATGCATGTTTTTCACTTCGATGTGCGTCTTCAGAGTGTACAGACCGTTGTTCGCACCCACTCAGTCCCGCGTGCTGGATCCCAAGCAGAAAAAACACCGTCCAACAGGAATGCCAAGAGAACAGGTGCGACGTGTTGAGGAATCCCAAAGCATTTGGCAGGGCGCATCACCCATACCTCCTGCCCGTAATCAAGGTGCTCATCCGGTGGGAGGCGTGTGGACCAGCAGGGCGTGGAAGAACCAGCTCCGCTCGGCAGCTGGGCAGCGTCTTTTGACCAAGCTGGGTGCGGGTCACCCGAATTGACCGTAGGTTGGACTCGGCCTGTTCTGGTCAACCAGGGTGCACCAGTTCTCTGACGCCATTGGGCGAATCCGGAGACAGATGGATCATGAGACAGATGGACTTCCGGATCATCGCACCCTATGTCCGAGCGGCACGCAATCGTGCTGGTGCTCTTGGCCGGCAGTGACACTTCGCAGCTGGCGGAGCAAATCAACCCCGCGACGCACAGTCATGTCTGGAAGCAGTCATGTTGGAAAATATCAAGGAGTGTTGATCAGAAACCCTGGACGCAGAGTCAAGTCAGGAAACTTTGGCTTCAGCACAGTGTCCGGAAACTTTGACGGAATATGTATCAGAAACCGTGTGTGAAACTATCATTGACCCGTCTGCAACGAGCCCAACTGATAGCAATGCCACGGGGGCGCAGAAAGTGACGTAAGGATTTGAAATGAAGGGTTTCACACCAAGATATGCGGGAAACTTGGGACCAGTAGAACGTAGACCTTCAAATGATTCGGAGTGTGCTTTTGCGTTGAGGATGACCAGCAGTCTTTTGTAATTCGATGCATTGGTCGGTTCTTGAGGCAAAGGTTTCACAAAAGTCTTCGAAGATGGTGAAACAAACGTATTTCTTGGCGCAAGGCCATTTACGAACAGGGCTCCCTTAGTTTCCCTTGGATGGAGGGCTTTGAATTTCATGCAATTGGAGGTTGAGATGCCCCAAATCCACTAGTGACCCCCGGTACACGATAGAAGCCACCACTTGGGATTTGAACCAAAGTTCTGGACGGGTCTATAGTCTATAATAGATGTGGTTACTCCTCATTCAGACAAAGGGAGATTTGTACAGGAAGCTGTAGGGTTTGGATGGGCTTGGTTTGGCTTTTTCCTGCTTTTTCAAATGACTTCCTCCTGGACCTTGTGTTTGTTAATTCGAGCATCATCTATAATCTCCAGCTTGACTTCCTTCTCGATCTTATTGCGAGCATGGAGCGCCCCCCCCCAGGTTTCCAGCTGGTTTCTGGACACGGTCCCCGATTCTTGTGGCCAATGACTCTTCTCTGGGGTTCCTCCCCAACTTCCTTCTCGACCTTGTTCCGCGCATGGAGAAGCGGACCCTACATGGTTTGCTAATGGTTTCCCTGACGCGGTCCCCTTTTTCTTATCATCCGCACGGCTGATTCCACCCGTTCTCCCTCCGCCAAGGCTCTCGGAATACCAGGAGTGCCTTGGCCCATTGGGGGGGCGCACAGCACGAGCGGAAGAGACTGGCTGCTCCGTGGATGGAGCAAATACCGAGGGTTTCGGAATTCTGTGCATGACATGTGGTCCATGATTCCTCCCATCAACTCTCGTCTATAGTACTCTAGTAGCCCAGTCTTCAAGGAAGTCTTCCAGGAGTTTCTTGGAGATCTTACGGCATGACTTTCCACCGAAATTCATCTGCTCAGATCAGAAGGTTGCCGGAATGGCGGTGAAAGGTGGATTGCTGCCTGACAGGCTGACAGGTGATCATTTCGTTTACAGCTAGATGGTTGAGGTGTTCATTTGGCACGTTTGTCCCAAATTTGGAGGTTTCTCTGATTGCGTGCGTGAATGTTTGCAAGGACATTGAGAGCAACCGTGTCCTGTGTAGTCCGTGATGGACAGTTTCTTTGGACGTTCATTTCCCGACCACACCGGCATGGTTTGTGTGAGACGGGGCACCGTGCAGCGGTGTCGCCGCTCTGCCACTCAGGTTGGTCGGCACCTGCCTTTTGCGAATCCAATCGGACACCAACTTTGAGGCGGTTGGCGGGTCTGGGCCACTGCCGCACTGCTTCGAGGGTTGGGCATTGCGGAGTTTTCAGAAATCCGACGGCAACCCCCAAGACTACCGACCGCATAGTGCGACAAAAGCGAATTCCAGTGCCATATACGGTGGGACGACAGTTGTTACGAACAGATGCCAAGAGCTGCGAATTCCATTCAAAGCATTTGCTTTGGGTTTCCACCAGTCGCACTGCATTGGTCGGAACTGCTCCGGTTTTGGGGGGGCCAACGAGGAGCGCTTGCAGCCGTTTTGTCCTTTCTCACAAGTCTGCGTGAGACGGGCAATCTCACAGTCCCCTCCCAAAAGTCTTTTTGGGAAAAAGCACACACTGTGAACCACCAGTGCCGTGCCGGAACTGCCCTACAGCAGGTCCTTGTTCCACCAGACCTTTTGGGTTTCCCAACGTCGTTTGATTCGCCCAGGGATGGAGCCTGGCAAGGCAAGTGCAGGCCGGTCGACTTGATCGTGACCTCACGCAGCTCGGTCGGTTGGTCACGCAGCTCGAGCTTTTGAGGTCCCAAGCTGGACTGGATTGGTTGCGAAGGTCCAAGAATAGAGAACTGCCTGGTTTTCCATCGTGTTAATCAAAAGTCTTTGCGGATGGAGAGTTACTTTCCTAGCCAGTTAGGTGTCATTTGGCGGAATGAATAGCAGGATATTTATACTTAATTATACATGGCAACTTCGGTTGCAGCATGCGCTGTCACATGAGGTATGAGCATACCTCAAGATTAGATTAAAGACAGCACTAAGAACAGCGTGCGAGCGGTGAAAAAACGATAGGTAGGTGTCCTTGTCCTTAACACCCCAACCTTCTTAAAAAGATAATGGACTCACTAGGCCAGAAGCAAGCACGCAATAGTGCCGCAATAGATTTGACATGGTCACAATACCGTCACTGCTTTGGGACGACGACTTGCCATCCATGACTGGTCAAGAGCGTGCTCTGCCCGACCTGATCCTTTTCTACTAGGCACGGACAGATCGAAGCTACCTTTTAAAATAGATGAAGCCGAGCTCACCAGTGGAAAACAGAACTAATATGAACTAATCAAATAAGAAGAAACTTGGACAAAGCTTGCCCTGACAACACGTGCTCCTGGGGGCTTCGTTGCAATCCTTAGTGTACACATTGGCTTTTGCCACACAGGTTGTCGTACCAGTCAAGCAACCAAGAAAGACACCCACAACTCGCCAAAATTGACCCATCCACAAAACCTTGCGTGTTACCTCACCAACCGCATACCGCAAGAACTCCAGCATGTTCCGAAAAACACGGTTTGCAGGCCTTGGAGGTACTGCTGGCCTCGAAGCACGCGCGAGTTGCAGGCGAACCTCCGCCTTTGACCGCGCGAACCGGGCTCCGAAGCATGGGCGATGGGAACCCTGTCGCGGATTGGTATACCGTAGCGATGGTTTCAATTGATTGCCTCCTACACAGGTTCGGCCAATCCATCGGGTCGGATCTCCAAGGGTCGGAGAATCGAGCAGAGTTTGAGCGATAAAAGATCATGTCTTTCTGGTGATTTTCAATCCCCATTAGGATTTCCTCTAGGACCTGGGATTCTCCTTGAAATCCCAATAGGGATTCTTTTCAGTTCTTGTAATCTCGTTTGTTTCCTCTCTAGGTGGGTATGACACAAAGTCCAACACCTTTGGCATGGAGAGGCTGATTCACAGACAGCAGGGTTCCTAGGGTTCCTGGGTCTCGGGCCGCATATCGAATATCGGCATGTTGCTTCAAGAACCTGCTTAGATCATGCTTTTGTCCAACGCAAACCTGAGGTGATGCAGTTCTTCCCATCTCCCTTGCCTTCTGACCAGACTACCAGACAGGTCAACCTACCAGGTGCAACTGAGCTGATCCGATCGACCGACCGTCCGGCAACCCCAGTGGCCGTGTCCTCGAGCTGAGTCGCTTCGTGGACAGCCAGGCAGCTCAGCAGACGAGGTGCCGAGCGAGGTGCCGACTGCCGTGGTTCCTTTTGGGAAGCAAAGCCCCAAGAAGACGTCACGCAAGCTGGTACTCCGTGTGAGTGTTTCTTCTTAGGGACAGGCTTTGCATGTTTTTAAGCGTGGACAATGAGGTTGCCTGGTGGGAGGACACTGGTACCTCGGTACCTTTGTTGGAAATAGACGGGAAACAAGGTCGTTGAAACGAACGGTGAGTGGGACCTTCTAGGTCGTCGAACCTGTTCCAAAAAAAGAAACATACCTCTGCAACAGACCCCGCAGGTGCGAAGTAGTTTCGAGCAGAGGTGGAACTTGTGACATTGACATTGACACTTCCATAGGGTCCGTTGGTTTTTCTGCATCCCGAAAGACAACTTGCATTAGACGAAAGCAGGAAGCCTAAGCCGGGCATCCAGCTTCCTTAGCCATGCGAAGATCACTGGTGCAATCTTGTGCAATCTACATGTGCAAGTACACTGTGCAAGTATTCATCATACCGGCCTTACACATACTGGCCTTCCGCCCCACTCCTAGTCATGACACCCACTTCGGGAAGGCCCTGGCGAAGGAGATCGAAGCGCGCCTGGTCGCCGGGGAGCGCAGCTGGTTTGCCGTGGCCGTGCCCGGTGGAGCATGAGGCTGAAATCGGCTCGAGCGGAGGGGCACCGAAACCAAGGCTTTGAGGATCTTTGAGGAGTGATCTAAAGGAGAAGCAATTGTTACGATGACCTGCGTGATGCATACCTAAATGATCCTAAATGGGGTTTCAGTGCCAGTTTCGAGTTCAGACTCCAGTCTCCGCAACCAATACAGATTTTGTATGATTTCGTCTTGGCGCTTTCTGTATTGTCATCTGCCGATCCACAGAAAACTCGTCACACATGGGCGCCACACATGGGCGCGACGTGCCGCTGCCTGATGATGCTGCCTGCGAAGCCATGCTGCGGACATTCATTGCACTGGATTTGGAGCGGGCGGAGCGGCTGCTGCGGAGGGCGGACGAGCAGCTTGGAGGGTGTTGAGGTCCGGTGATGCGGAAGGAGGGGGCGTTCACCAGCTGTTCACTTTCGGTTTGGGGGAGACCCTTTTGCGGCAAGTGAGGAAATCGGACATCAGACGCCTCGGTTTTGGCGAGACAAGAAGACTGTTGGTGGAGAGTCTGGTTCCAGACGACATACATTTACTATTTCTACAGTAGATAGTTCATATACAACATCTATGGATATATAACTTTTAGTATCATAATATCATATAAGTCATATAAGATATTTTTGACATAAGAAATGTACTTGAGACATGACAAATACGGGATGCACACGATCCACAAGAAGGCGCTTGTAGCGATGATGGGGCTCGGCTTATAGGCTTCAATTTCTTCACACTCCCCGTGTCACGGTTGTCTCCGATCTCAGGGTGACCTGTGTCTCTGTGAGACTGCGATCCTTGGGCTTTCTTGTTGGGTCAAGGTTTGATGCTTTTTGTGTTTACTCACCCACGCGCTGCTTTTTGAACACCGGTGTTTGTTCAAGACTCAAGACCTAGGCCTCCCGAGCAATCAAATGTTTGAACGGCAACATGAAATCAAGCAATAATAAATGATACCATACAATAATGAGATATTGATCCAAGCCCCCACTTCAACCAGCCCTGTTGTGACCGAAGAACCTACCAAAGTGTTCGGAATAATTAAGTGCATAGATCCCTTGGCCGAGAGAGACCATCTTCGGTCCCGACGAACAGAACATCCTCATTTGCAACGAGATGCACCCACATCCTCTTGTTTCCACCCCACATCCTCTTTGCCCATCCAATGATCATCATGATCATGGTTGATCATCCATGAAAGATCCTTTGCCACATCCTTGATCATCCACATCCAATGAAAGAAAGTAGAAAGACCCTTCAGTAAGAAGCTGTTTGCAGTGAGGCGTGGTCGGACAAGAGGCACCACCAAAATTAGGACTTGGCAAAACCACGCACCTTTCAAACGGTTGGCACCCGCAGACTCACGTGAAAAGGTCTTGCATGGTCTCTTCCAGGACCCCCTCGTTGTTCAGGGGCTTCTATTGAATCTTGGTATGATTCTCTAACAACACATCCGGAACGTCTGAAGTACAAATTCACCGAACACAGTATGAGAGCCAATCATATGTACCTTTATAAAGACACTGCTGATAGGATCACCGTCCCTCCACGTGTGCCACCTGAGGCTGGTGGCAGAGGCCCGGCGCTCGGCAGGGCGCTCGCAGCTTTGGACCATCAGCGGCCTCGATGGAACAAGCTTTCAGCTCCCCGTGGATGAGACGACCACGGTGGCTTCGGCACAGCCCGCGTCGGGTCCGCGAAGGCGTTGTCCGCCGGGGAAGACGTCTTCGGCTCCACGACTTCTTCTTCGCCCCCCTGATTTTTGGGCAACGCCCGGTGGAGTGGATCCCCCAAAGCCCGGCATGCTGTAACAACAAACTTTTGGGCCGGCTCATCAAGCACATGCGGAGCAAAACCCAATCAACTGAGCAAACTTTGACTTGCGATGAAATCTATGTGCTGATTGAGGGAATGTTGCTCACCTTGGAACGAGAGGTGGCGATATCCATCAGTTCCTGCGGGGGTAGACACCTACTGGATGAACATAAAACATGTTTTCTCTAAATGCAGACAGAGAAACTTTATTGTGGGCAGTCTGTGGTTTGTGGTGCAGGAGAACTTGCCATTCATTTGTCAGTAGGTCTTTCGAAAAGTCGGAGCCTCAAAGTAGCAATAAACTTTGGCGGATAGTCCAAAACAGGAACACAAACCTCAAGAAGTGGTCCGACCACCGACCACCTGTTTTGGTCGCCAGGAAGTTTGGCGGCGCATACCTAGATGTTTGAAGTGCATCCATTACAATTTCCGACCGTCGGGGAGCTTAAGCCTTTAAGTGAAACTGGTGCTTGGAGTCCCAGTACATCACATTCCTCCAGCGCATCCGGTAAACACTCGGCCACGTCTCGCAAGGTGGGCGACCTCTCCAAGACCATTACAACAAGGATTGGCGTGAAAGCTGGCCGAACACTTGTTCTCTCACATGGCGGTGAAATTCTGGGCGACTCCTCTAAGCCTTTGCCGCAAGAGGTGTGTGGCCGAGAGATCTCATACGTCGTTCGACAGGTTTGTGCACTGGAGGCAGCGATTGCGCTGCGCAGCCCATTTGCAGAAGGAACAAGAGACCACCGGCTTGCTACCGTGACAGATGCCATTTCCCGCTTGACCTTCGGCCGAGAATATAACCAGAGCTTGGAAGGTGTGACCTTGCCAAGCAGCCTGCTGACTTTGACCTTTGGTATCGACTTTAACCAGAGTTTGGAAGGTGTGACCTTGCCAAGCAGCCTGCAGACTTTGACCTTTGGCTATGCATTTAACCAGAGTTTGGAAGGTGTGACCTTGCCAAGCAG